GCCCAGTTCAGCCCATGGTCCCACTGACATTTTGCCCTCCCTGCACCCCCCCTCCACCCTTTGTGCCCTGGTGTCAGACCTCTGGCAGATGGGGTGCCAGGAGCATTCTGGGGGAGGCTCCAACATGACATCCCTCCTCTGAGCGCCCCACCTTGTCTGGCACCCACAGCCATCAACTCCACCCTGAGCCTCCTGAATGACTCCGAGAGCTCCAAGCTGTTTGCCGCCTCCGGGAAGCCGCTTTCAAACTGCGTTCGCTGTGCAGTGGTGGGGAATGGAGGCATTCTGAATGGTTCCCGCCAGGGTCTGAACATCGATGCCCACGACTATGTCTTCAGGTGTGCGGGCCGGGAGCCAGGGGGGCGGTGGGAGAGGAGCTGGAAAGAGGGCCAGCCCCGGGGCAGCCCCGGTCTCCTACGGCAGCGAGACAAGCAGGCCCGGACAAAGGCAGATACGCAGACAGACTCTGAAGATGGAGTGTGGGTGCCGCATGCCGGGGGGGAGGGAGCTGCCACGGCCGGATGTGCCCATTTCACAGGCATCCCTTGAGGTCTGGAGGGGTGGGTATGGGGCTGGCGACCCCCACTGGTGGCACCCTGGGCAGAGGGCATGGTCTGCACAGAGACCTGGGGACAGACGCAGCAGATCCAAGTACGAACATGGCATCGTGTGACCATGAGGAGGCTGACGGGCCTCTGTTTGGACCAGACTCAATGGCGCTGTGATCAAAGGCTTCGAGAAGGATGTGGGCACCAAGACCTCCTTCTATGGTTTCACTGTGAACACAATGAAGAACTCCCTCATCTCCTACGGGAACCTCGGCTTCACGTCTGTGCCACAAGGCCAGGTGAGGCTTCTGACGGGCGTGCAAGGCCACGGACAGTCAGCGCCCCTGTTCCCAGAGCCCCTCCGTGGGGCAAACCATGGCCCCAGCCCAGTAGATGGAGAGGTTGCAGCAGGATCCTGGGTGCACGTGTCGGGGCCAATGAGAAGGGGGATCTGGACAGGGACACCCATAGTTTCAGGCAGCACAGGACTCCTCTGGAGTAGAGCATGAATGGCTAGTGTTTACTGAAAGCTTGTGGGGTGCCAGGCACCGTACGTGGGCCCATCAGTCCCATTTTCCTGGTGAGGAGACTGAGGCCGGGTGCCCTTCATTCAGCAAGGCGCCAGCAGGGCCAGGCTTCAAAGAGCTGCCCTCCAGAATGTCCTTCTGTGAGGGAGGCTGGGTTCAAAGGGCTCCAGCAGTGAGCAGCATGCCCAGCAAGGGGGGGCGGGGAGCCAGAACTTGAGACCGCCCACTGCCTCCAGCTCCTCAGCCACGCCCATTTTCGGGAACACTGCCCCTCCCTCAAGAGCCGTCAGGGTGACACCTAAAGAGGGGAGATCCCAGGATAAGGTTGAGTTTCTAGAAGCTTCCTTCTCGGAGCAGGAAATTCAGGAGTCTCCTAGCCACAGCAGGATCTCTCTCCACTCGTGATAAGATGAAATGAGGCAGCTTTGTGATGTGGCCACACCACCTGTAGGAATGATTCATCCCTGTGTTGACAAATTACCCCAGACTTAGTAGCTTTAAACAGCAAACATTTATTGTCTTATAGTTTCAGTGGGTCAGGAATTCGGGAACAGCCTAGTAGACAGGTTTTGGCTCAGGATCTCAGGTGTTTGCCGGGATCAGTCAGTCGGGGCACCCTGGGTGGCTCAGTTGGTTAAGCGTCTGACTTCGGCGCAGATCATGATCTCACGGTTCGTGGGTTCGAGCCCCGTGTTGGGTTCTGAGCTGACAGCGCAGAGCCCGCTTGGGATTCTCTCTCCCTCTCTGAAAATAAATAAACTTTAAAAAAAAAAAAATTGAGGCCGGAATCGAGACGGCCCCTCTCTAGGCTCCTAGAGTGTTCTCCGGTCATGGCAGCTAACTTCACCCAGAGTGGTCCCAGGGACCTTTTATGGCCTAGTCTCCAAGATCACCCCCCAGCATCGCTTCTGCTGCTTTCTATTCATTAGTCACGAGGTTGAGAGGGGGGAGTACAGGCAGAGAAGAGAAATTCTCCCATCAGGACGGGTAGAGGGCTGTCCAATCTGAGCAGGATGGGGTCTTGTTCGGGCAGGGGTGGGGAGTGGCGAGGGGGGCTGGCTCAGTGTCTCTGTTGCCCCAACAGGACCTGCGCTATATCTTCATCCCCTCTGACATCCGTGACTATGTGATGCTGAGATCGGCCATTCTGGGTGTGCCTGTCCCTGAGGGCCCTGACAAAGGGGACAGGTGAGCCGCCAAATGGGTGCAGGGTGTGGTAGTGCTGGGATCGTCCCCCTGCTTGCTCCCTGGGCCCACTGTCAGGTAGGGAGAGTGGGTGAGGGCAGCAAGGAAGTCCCCAAGAATCCAAGAGGGTGTTGGGCAATTAGGCTCTTTTGTCCTCCCCATGGAAAAGCCCAGGTGACCCTGCTGGTCCCCAGGAACCCGCCTGAAGGGCCACCCTGGCTGCTCAGCTTCGGGCTGCTGTCCCCATCACCCACGCAGCCCCCCCCCAGCCCGCGGCACTGACTGGGCGTCCTCTCCTGACTCTGCTGTCCTGCTGAGCACACTGTGTCTGGAAACTGAGGGCGGGGGGATGGTGTCCATGCCACTTGCCCTGGTGGGCAGTCTCCTAGCGCTGTGCCCGTGAAACGGGAGAGCAGGTGACATGGGTCCAGTGTCCTGCAGTGAACAAAAGACGCTCTGTCTTTTCTCCCCGACCTTCCTGGGCAGCAGGCCTGTGTCCAGCTCTTTGGAACCATGTCCCGGCCTCAGCTGAACCTTCTCCCTGTGGCGCTGGGACAATTCCTTGTCCCAGAGTCAAGTCCTTACAAACCCATGCCATCTCTGCAG